ATAATCACTGGTGTCCAACACATGTATCATCATTTCAACACTAAGCATTATGTATGGCACCCTAGGCTTCACAGTAAGCTGTTATATTTCAAAATAGTATTTCTATATGAAACTTTTCGTTATTTTTTTCATATTTGGACAATTTTGCTCAAGTTCATTGATAAAAGGTACCACCTTTGTCCCACTAACATTCCGACAAGAATATGTGATGTGGTTATTAAGATAACTAGATTCATGTGGTTGATATTGAATTGATAAAGCATGAATGGTTTAGTATTACACAAACTTTTATCAAATGTGGTGTATGACAATCTTAGGGGAAGAGACTAAAAAAGAAAACGAGACAATTTTAATAGCAAGGAAAGTAGTACACATATAGAAGTATAGAACTATGGAACTATAACATTCCGTAATTAATAAAGGCCTGAGCGCTATAGGAATTGAGCAGTCTTCACTCTTTAACTCTTCACAAGTCAAAATTTGTGGATGAAATACACCCCACACGGCTTTCAGGCCATTTCATGACCTCTATGCCCCTACGTGTCGTTCTTCTCATATGTCTTCTCTAGCATCTCTTTGATTGGATTTGTTCAATCAAACAAAAAACAACATTACCCCACATTATCTTAGTGCCTCAAAGGCACTAGTGAGCTAACGGGGTGGGATGTACGCAACCTTATCTCCTTGCTTTCCTTATACTAAAGCACAAAGAGACCGTTTCTGGATGTCCCATTTAAAAATTGAATGGACTGACCTTGATTCATAACAAAGAAGCACATGCAGTTTAGTGAGCCATTTTTTGCTTTATTCCATCTATGTTCCCAGGACAAAAAAGTGAGTCGTTGGTTCCATCGGAAATGATTTCAAACCCAGGAAAGAAATTGAATTAGCATTTATGGGTTGCACAAGTTCTTCATCTTTCACATGCTCATCATCTTCATCCTGTGTAGCCATGATCATATTCCAACCACTGTTGCTTTCTTCTGAGGTGCCCAATCACTTTTTGTTAATTTCACTGGCCTCATTGACGCCATGTCGCCATGTTGTTCCCCGGATTTTTAAGGAAGGTAATTAAGCAGGTAATGCAAGTCGAGAGCTTTTTCTGTTTTTAGGATTTTAATGTATTTGCAGTTAGAAAATTAATTGTATTGTCATATCTGGGAAGTTTGGTTCTTTTGTTATTCTGAAAAAAATTGCTAACCTATATACCTTTCAATTGAGATAAAGTAATTAAGGTTTTGAATGTTTCATGGCTGGTATGTACCACTTGAAGGTCAATAGAATGTTGAACTGTAGAATGCTTTTGTTTTATAGTTAGTTTCACGTAATTTTAATATAAACTATTGCCTTTTGTTTTTTTCCTTTCTTTTTGTGTGTGTTTCTTATGTAGGCTACAAAATTTTATTGCAGCTGTCTATTAAAGAAATTTTGGGGGTGAAAGGCGGAGCATCAGAAGTGGCCACGGGTGCTATACAAGAACGATTTGCACATCTTCTCTGTGCTCCTGAAGATGGCTGCTTCTGCTAGTGCAAAAAACCCGATGCATAAAAGGATGCCCTCTTTGAGGGCAGAGACTTCTGGTTGGACTGCATTTGTCAAAAAGGAAAGACAGAAACAATAAGGGATTAGCCCCAGCTTGAAAGTGACCCTCTTCCTCCTATATCGCTCTCTAATACTCTCTCAACTGAGCCCTCCTACAAGGCAAAGAATACCTGTACTATATTGGAGAAGACTTTTTCTTCAGTCATTTTACCTTCTCCAAATTTTCCACCGTTGGAGCGAAATATAGGCTCTAAAAATAATCAAATAAGTGTTGGACATGTGAATTCCAGCCAGCTCAACATTGCTTCCAAAAAGGGGGATGATGTTGATTTGTATAAAAAAACTAAAGAAGCTTTACTTGTGGGCAGATGAAGGCCTGACCAAAGATGTTATGGCTGGGGTAGATTATGAATTTGATCAGGCTATAATGTTATTGGGAGCAATGGTTTCTCTGGATCAGACACTTGTGTTGCATGAGGATTCCGAATCTGAGAAACCTGAGACTAGCAAAGGGAAACACAAAAGGTGAACATGCCAAATAAGATGTTTCATTTGTAGAGGACATGAATGTGGAAGATTTCAACAACAATATGAATAAGCATCTGAATGCCAGTAGCACAGATTTGGTCAATGCACCAATTGGTGTTTTTAGATTTGTACCAATTGAACCTGAGTTATGGGAAGAAGATGATGTATACTCATTACATAGAAAGGATGCTCTAAAAATGATGAGGTGGTTGTCATCTTTTGTTTTTTGAAAAATATATTTTATTTTGAAATTGGTACCACCTGATTGCATTACTAGCCTTTATAAAGTTATGGTACTTTATTTTTTTCTCCTATCTACACTTCATTGGTTATAAAATGGGCAGAGACTGCTACTATGGATTAGCTTCTACCTGGAATGTAAGTACTTTGGGAGGAGATTTATTTTTATTAGCTTCTACCTGGAATGTGAATACTTTGGGAGGACATTTATTTTTATTAGCTTCTTCCTGGAATGTAAATACTTTGGGAGGACATATAATCTACTGTTGGATTATTTTTTATTCTTTAGTTTTTCTATTCAAGGGAGAGAATGTAACAGCTGTAATATTGTCGATAGTATTTGCTCAAAAAACTATGCATCGTGATGATCACTTTAAATTTGTTATTCCCATAATTTCCAATGAAGTGAAAGACTCATATGGGTTGGGAACAGTGATGGTCTGATGGACCCGGTCCAGCCCGACCGGCCCGGCTGGGTGCCCTGTTCTGGTACCGGGCTTTTGCCCTACCCAGCGTCCTAACTGGGAGCGGTTCCGGGACGTCTAAATAGCAAACAGGCCATGCGGCCAAGCTGGGCCCGGTTCGGGCCCAACGGCTAATATTTTTTTTTTAAAAAAAATTTATAGCTCTTCCTAGCCGTTGGGAAAAGCCCCAAACGGCTATATAGTCGTTTGGTGCAATGAGGGGTCATGGGGGTTTGGGGATCGGGGGTGGGGGTTGGGGTACAAAAAAAATCCATAAATCCTCCTATTTTCTAATATTTTCTTACACCTCTTCTCCATCTTCATTAGGCCTAGACTCGGACTGGGTGGCCCGACCCGGAACCGGCCCGAACCGGCACTGTTCTGGCCCGGCCTGGCCCGATGGCCCAGTCAGTGACCGGTCCGGGTAGGCCCGACCCGCTGGGGGTCCGGTCCGGGCTCGGGCCCCACAAATCATGAACCGGCCCGACCGGTTCGGGCCCGACTTCGGGCCTTTTAAATTTTTCTTTTCAATTTTTTTTTTACTTTTCGGGTTGGGTTGGGTATTTTGGGCCATTTGGGGTGGTTTGGGGGTGAGGGGGAGGGTTGGGGGTTAACTAGGAAAAGAAAAAAAATATAACTAAGGCCCGAGGCCCGGCCTGGCCCGATCCGGAACCAGGGATTACCCGGGTCAGTTCTGGGCCCCCATTCCTGAACCGGAGGCCCGACCGGGCCCGAACCGGCTTGAGTACACCCCTAATCTTCATCTTCTCAAATTCTCTAATTCTCTATACATCTATTTTACTATTTATGCAATTATTATATCTATTTATATATTAATTATCTACCTATAAATACATATATTATGCTACGTATTACCTTTATTTATTATCTACTTAATATATACTTATATATATTATAGTATACTTATATATTATAGCATCACTCCCACCGAACACTTTATGGAGGAAACAACAACCGACGAGCGCGGAGATTCCGATTCATTATAAATTTATAATTTATTAAAAATTAGAAATGTATTTCATGTTTTAATTTATTCTCAATTGTACCTCATATTTCACATAAATATACTCGAAGTTTTTTTTTATATCCAGCACTTCTAGAATTAATTAGGAAACAAGAAAAAAAATTGACCCGGAACCGGCCCGAGCTAGTACCCGGGCGGGTGGCCTGGCCCGAACTGTTCAACACCCGGGTGTGTGCTGGGCTTCAAGCTCACAAAAAAGGCCAGGTCGGGCTCAACCCGGAACTGGACCGAGCCCGGTCTATGACTAGTTTGGAATATGATTGAATAAAGCAAAATGACACACTAAACTATTTGCCTTTTTTGTCATGAAGCAGCAGTCATTTCATGAAGTATTTGATGATATTTTCATCATGGGTCATCCGGAATCAGTTTATGTATGCTTTAGTATAGGGGTAAGGTTGCGTGCATCTGTCCCCCTACTCTATCATTGGTGGGAGCCTTTTGTGGCACTGAGGTAATGTTGTTGTTATTGTAATGTACTTTAAATTTGTTGTTAAAGTAATTTGGATATAAAATATGTGTTAGGTGTGCAAAACACAGATAATTCATTTCTTCAATAGAATGTAATAAAAAATAAAAGGTATGAAAAAAATTAAATAATTGGTACTCCCTCTGTTTCCAAAAATACTTCCTACTTTGCTTTTTGGGCCGTTCCCAAAAATACTTTCCACTTAGCCCTTTTGGACAGTTTGTGTGGTTCACATTCATTTTACCTTTTTCTTACACAATTACACATTTCCACTTTCTTAATAAGCGTGTCATTCAAACTTGGAAGAATTTTTAGGAACGGGGTTAGTATAAAATATACTACGTATTATGTGTACGTATTAATCATTTTGGTTCCAATTTAATAACTATCCAAATTAATACGAGTAAGTAATAGATTGTCTGTAGTGCTTTTGTCGTTTTACCCATTATATGAATGCTGTTATATCAATTTAAGTCATCCGTTTTGAAAATCAAAAAAATTATTAAAGGATGTGAATAGAGTAAAAGTATATTTCTGATAATGCAGGAGTGCGAATGATAATACGTCAAACTTCGAGGGGATGGTCAATGATTGTTTCGCTAAAATGAATCTGTTTAATTCAAAAAAATCAAATTTATATGTATGATTTTGTAGAGAATATTTATTTTATTTAATAGCTATTTGATCTAAAAATAAAAAACAAATTTAACAACTTTGTTACAAATTAGTTACAGAGCACGTGGTTTTGTTTCCTACCCTCTAAAATTCTCTCATAACCGTCTTCGTGGTCAGCTTAGCTTCTCTCATACAGTATTTTCTCTGTTGCTCTGTAATGGGGTTTAGCTACTCCTCTGCTACGTCAACTTCTTCTCCATATGAGGAGGCCAACTTCTTCTCAAGGTAGTCTACTTCCTCTCTTCTGGCATAATTCTATGAATGGCGGAATGTTTGTGGTAAGTTTCATAGAGTTTTCTGCCAATAGCTTCTAATCTCTAGTAGTTATTCTCTACCCCATTGGTTCTCATGAATATTTCTATTCAGCAGAAGGAATCGTTCGCCTCCACTAGGGCGTGGCCATCTTGACTCCATCTCCATGGACGTAATGTCTCCTTCCCTCCCTGAAAAAAATTCCGCATTATCTATGTTACGTTTTCGCACTCACACAAGTGAAATTTCAGCGTCGTTCCTTTGTATTGGCATTTCATATTGTACTGGATCTCTTATCTCAAATGGCCGTTGAATATGTTCTCATTAGGTTAAGTGATGTCTGAGTTATTTTATAAATTTGCAGTTGAACAGCATCATCGAAGAATTAGGGAGGGTCTCTGGTGCAGTCTATACCCTCAGGTGTTCTACCTATTCCAACTGCACTGCACTACACTCAATTTAGTTGGCCTTCCTTTTGACTTCTACCTCAAAACTGTTCTCCCCCTCACCCCCACCCCCTCACCCGCCCGCCTATGATTTCATTTTTAGGTTTTTACTTTCCCTATGCTTTTTCTCATTTCCGTTTCTGTTTTCTGCCCTAGATTTGCGTGGAATTTGGATGAGATGCTACTACATACTATATGTTGTGATCTTAAGGTACTACTGAAACTGTATTATACTTTTGTATCAGGTGTATTTTTATCGTAAATAGAGAGTTATATTCTTGGCTTGCACTTTTGCAGTGGAGTAGTGCTTTTTTCCCCTCTACACTGTTTGGGTGTCCGTACTGGTTGGTGTCTCTTCCTGTCCAGGATTGCTCCTCTGCAACCTCCACCGCCTCAGTAACTGATAGGGAGAGGGTGGGAGTGGTGCAGTACCAGTTGATGATCACTGCCGCATTGCAGAGACACCCCAACCATCAGTCAGTGGGTGGATATGATGATGCTAACTTCTTATACATGGTCAAGGTTTTGTACTTCCTATTGTCATCCAGTATTCTATGATTGATGAAATTGCTGTGCTAAGTTTCAATTGAATCTGTGCTAGTTCTCGATTAGCTGCCAATAGCTTCTTATATTTGCTCTTTGCTCTCATGGATTATTCTATGCAGCAGAAGAAAACAACGGCCTCCACTATGCCTTCATGGAGTAGCCTTCTTCAATCCATCTCCAAACAAGTAATTTCTCTCCCCTCCCCCCTCTCCCTCTCCCTCTCCATTTTGAACATATTTTACTGCGTATATCCAATAAACGTCAGTTAATAACATTTGAAATTCTCCTATTACAGTATGGATCGTCTATGGTATACTCGCAAGTGCTGGAGTGCTCCGCCCTTCATTTACTCAGCATTTGCCGCTCTTCTTTGCAACCTCTCTGCAACTGCAAGATCACGCCTTATGCCTTATCCGTTGTCTTCACTTCCGATAATTTGAAGAGAAATCAAGACCTTAACAGACTGGAAATAATCGGAAAAGAGGAGTCAGTTGCACTTCTCAAGTTGCTCAAACTTGGAGAAGGCGAAGGCAAGTCGTTCGAATGGATTCTCCAAGAAGAGTTCAAATCAGAATTCAAACCCATTCGTTATATCGAAGTATGTGCTACCCTCGCTGCAATCCTTGAGGTACAAATCGAGCCTTACTTCATCCCTCTACAAGCGCGACCTTTACCACTCCCCGGTGGCGTGTCTGTATATTGTATACATGCAGGTGTGCCTGTGGGTTTTCTTCGATAATGATATTGATAAGTTCGTCTATGTGTCTGTCTTTCCTCAACTCATCAGTCATCATGCACTAAATTTTGAATCTGCTGCACTGTTTAAATCAGAATGAAGGGGTTGTTCCGAGATTGAAATAGACAGTCAAGTCTATATAAGACGAAAATAAAATGATAAAAATTCCTTCCTATTCATCTTGATCTGTTTTTGGTTGCTTAACTTCCATATTTTTGGTCATAAAAGTAGTTTTCTTATGTGATTTGGTAAAAATGGTTTATCTTGGGCATGTTATGATCTGTTTCAAAAAACACATTACATTATTGATACCTGTCAATTACTTTTTGTTTTCTTTTCGACATTTTCCTTTCTTGGTTAAAGTGTAGGTGATTTGTTCGTCCAAGGTCAGCATTTTAAGAATGCACTAGCAAAACTGCATTAACGTTTTTTTTTGGGGGGGGGGGACCTGGAGAAAAAGTGTGTGGATGATGACCGCAAATCACCAACCTATTTTTACTATGTGCAAAATAAATTCAATATTTTCTTGTCTGCAAATTTTAAGTGAAAGTGTGAAACCAAATATCATGTATAAGGCACTGACCATGAGTTTCCTGTTTTGCGCACTTGGAATGTTGTTGCATTGAGTGCAAATCATTGAACATGTAAACCAAACTGCATAAGTTATTTTGAGATAATTGCAGGACACGGTACTTAATCCCTCCAATCGGTTGGTTCCCTTTGCAATTGTTCATCAAGCATGTTCTTCCCCAACGTTTTCTTCAGATCCATTCCTCCCGATTCTTATGAATGTAAGTTTTCCGGCAGAGTGCAATCGTGCTGCCACAGTCAAAGACGTTTGGTTTCAAATTGCTTTCCCTGTGCTATTTTGCTTCATTGTTTCAGTATGCTCACTCTGAATTGATCAGTGCATTAGATTGTTATGGAAATGCATCCAACATTGAATGTTTTTGTAGGTAATAGGTGGAATTGAGAGCGTCAAATCTCAAAGGGTTGAAGGAAGAGAAACAAATGACGCGGGAGAAAAAGAGAAAGAGGGAGAAAACGAAGGTGCACCGCTGGATGAAAGGGGAGAAGGATCGGAGGGTTCAGATATAGTTGAAGATTTGGTCCTGTCTGACGATTCTGACGACAATTATCGCGAAAGGCTCATTCCAGTGTATGAAGATGGCATAGAAGAGAAAGTTGGCGAAGTAAGCTTAATCGAAGCTTTTGGCTACACCAGTTTTGCCAGGCAGGTGGCTCGTGCAAATAAAGAAGAGAATGAGCGAGGCGGGGAAGGCTGGCTAGCTGGCATCTTCCATGTGCTCTGGCCGTGGCCCCGGTATGATACAACCTATCACGATGTTCACGACGAAGTGTTAGATCCTAGGAAGGTCCATTGGCTCTCCTTTCTAAGGTCTATCCAACTCGTTCGAGTGAAGAGAAGTTATATGGATCCTGTTGGCCAAGTAATACGGGTTCGGTTCTGGAGTCTGGAAAAGGTGGATGAAGTCGTGATGCAGAGAAAGTATATCCATAGCCGGAGGGATTTCGTAGCCGTGCTGCATATGACTTGGGCCGCCTGGAAAGATCAAGAACCCAGCTATCAATGCCCCGCTGAGGCCGTGGTTGATGGGGGGCGATTGCAATATCTCCGATCAAACCTCAGTGAGATCCCTTTTGAGTTGGAGGACGATAGAGAAGACGACTCGGAGGATCCTGAGTGGGACTCCTTCTTCGCGGCAGTGTCCTTGATCATATGCACCACAACTGATACCCCGTAATTGACAGGAAAAGGAATGGATCGCCTATGGACAACTATCACCTTTTCCTCTATTTTCTTAATTTTCCGTGACATTGCAATAAAAGGTGGCATGAACACTCTTGTTTGGTTTAGAATGTTTGGTTAATGTGTCTTCCATAACTTCTTCCTATCGATCAAATTGACGTGCAAACTTGATGATTTCAAATATATCCTCTTGTGATATACTACGTATTTAATTTTGTCTAAGTTATTTATGCTTTAGGATCTTAGATTAATAGTTTTTTTTTGTTGATCCAAGCCTATGAATTTTACCTATACACACATACTTCGTAACTTTAATGCTTAATGTTACACATTACTTCCGTCCCGATTTAAGGTTTCCATTGTAAAATAGCCCAATTATTTTCCAAAAACCGCAAAATGAATTTGACTACCTCCTTTACCCGTTGAACGCGTGGTTCGACTCACCACACAAACTTGCTCAAGCGGAGGAAAATATCTACCAATCTTAAGAAGGCAATATTGATTACATGTAAATTAATTAATTAAATTTAACCCTTAAAAACATCTGTTGTTTGAAGTGCTATAACTTCTTTATTTGCACTCCGATTGTTATCAACAATACATCAAAATTTATAAATTTTTATTATCTTTCATATGCAACCAATGTTGCATATATAAAAATAAAAAAATCAATTTTGATAATTTGTACACGCTATTAATCCAGAGTGACAGCTTAGAATAAAATTGAACAAACTCCATCACTTTTAGGGGTGGGCATGGGCCGGGACGGTTCGGGATTAGGGTTATCCCGGTCCCATCCCAATTAATAATAACAGGACGGGACAAGCCTTTGTCCTAGTCTTGTCCCATTTAAATCGGGACCGGGATGATTCGGAATGGTTCGGGACGGTTCGAGATGTCCCAAACTAACAAAAAATAATCATTTGTAATTAATATATATATATATATATATATATATATATATATATATATATATATATATATATATATAGACAAATCTTCATGTCAGGCCGGCCTGACGGGATGCTCCGTCCGGCCGAGGACATTTTGGGCACTTCCCGGTGGAATTTTTTGATGAAATTTTTTGGGCATGTTCTTCATGAAGTCTAGTTTATCCATACCAAATTTCAGCTAAAAATTTAATCGGGAAGGCACCCAAATAATTTGTTGAAGTTACCTGGGCACACCCCCATTTTCCCTCCCAAAATATTACTTGAAATAATATATTTATTCATAATAAACTTGATTTATTCATTCAAACAGATAAAAAGTTTTGCAGCGGAAATAATATTAAATGGGAAATGGGTGTTACCGCCACATCCGGTCATCTCTTAACCGAATGCACAGGCAATCACCAAACAAAGTAAAACAAATGTTCAACATAATTGGATTGTTTATTTATGACTAGGTTTGACTAAGGCATCTCTAAACCGCTCTCGTGGTCATACAATCATCAGTCCACATAAGCATCATCACCTGCACAAATAAAGTGCAGAAAACAAAACAAAGAAAAGGAAACAAAAATTAGCTTTAGAGCTAAGTAAGTACTACCCAACCTCGTAAAATAATCAGGTTTGGCTAAAAATAGTTTTTCATATAATACTATATAAAAATGACACACTCCACCAAAATTCTTTTCTCTTTGATATTTCTCAAAATCATTTCTTTAATAAAGTCCTCAACTTTTCTTTGAAAATACTATAGTAACTCTTCTCTTATAATTTCTCAAAATTCGCTTCTTCTCTATCTTTCTAGTAATTTAGAAGGGCGGTGCTCAACACTCTGGTTGAGCCCGGTGGTTACGTTGTTATGTACGGCCACCCCGGGACTTTTGCCGGTACCACAATTGCTAATGGAAACGAAACGACTACCTTAAGTGTGCACACTCCCTAAAAGGGATTCCAAGCCCTCCGAGTAGTAAGTCGTCACGAGTAATCGGGACTCAGTCTACCAACTACCCCACCTTTAAAATTCTTGAATGATTAGGGACTACTACTACTATAACTTCTTCTTAAAAGGGATCATAGATCCAAATGTCACTTCAAACTCAAACTGTACTTCTTAGTAGTAGCAGCCTTAATCACCCTCCACATTTATCCGGATGTGGAAAACCGAAACCACGGATTTCTCCCGCGGTGCTCACTTCTTATGAAAACGTAAATTTTATCTTGACTTTAGATATACTTCTAAAAATAATTCTCAATCTCTCTAAATAGTCTCAAAGGTATTTAAAAAATATTTAATACCCCAAAGTCCTTCATTTGCACTTCTCAAATACCATAGATCTAATATCTCCTCAAAATCACATACACATAATTCAAAATTCACACTTTAATCAAATAATAGCATATAATACGAGGAAACCATTTTGGATCGGCAGAGAAACTTACCTTAAGTCCTGATGCTCTTAATTCTCTTTCTCAAATCTGGTCTCTAAATATTCACCTTTTTAATTAAGATGATATAATTAGTCACTTGTTCTATTTTTAATGATTTACCTGATTTTTCCCTTTCACTTTGTTATTCCGATTTATTAATATGATTATTTATTCGAGTTTATTTTATCTCTTAATCACTTCTTATTATGAAATCACTTTATTACTTCAGCCATGATTTCCTTTATTGGAATACTATAATTATATCAAATAACCGAAATGCATTTAGTTAATCAACTTTTTAATTTATTAATCACCACTAATTTATTCTACCTCTAAAACATCCAATTAATTTACTATATTTTAATATTGTTAAGATATACGGATTATGAACATATTCAAATTACTTCAATTATAGCTTATTACAAATATGTTCGTACTTAATAACTATCTCATACGATGGTATTATTTAAACTATTTAAACTAATTCGGTAATTAATACAATAATCCTTTTGATTTTAATCAAGTCTGATAATAAAAGGTATTAACTAATTAACTAATCTCAGTTCGTGACAATCTCTTTAATATCAACACCTATATAATAAAAAAATATGAATTGCATTTGATATTTAAATTTCATAATTTCCTTAATTTATATTAATCAACATTATTACAATTAGTAAATCCGAATATTAAAAAAAATCATTTAAACTAACTAACCATGATTAACTTAATCTGATTTTATTAATTTACTCAAGTACTTAATATTTCCGAGTCCGCAATTATGTTAATTTTATTAATCTACTTCTACTAATATAATAATTAGTGAAAATAATATTTATCCAATTTATTTGTAATAAAATATCCGTTTATTTCTATTAATCAACCCATCAATTCATTTTAACATTATGTAATTACTATTTCAACTAACAATTAACCAATTTATCTAAGTGATTACTACCAATCAAGCCAATTTCCTCATTAATATTTCTCATCTCAATTTTATCCATTTTGCAGATTATTATTATTATTATTATTATTATTATTATTATTATTATTATTATTATTATTATTATTATTATTATTATTATTATTATTATTATTATTATTATTATTATTATTATTATTATTATTATTATTATTATTATTATTATTATTATTATTATTATTATTATTATTATTATTATTATTATTATTATTATTATTATTATTATTATTATTATTATTATTATTATTATTATTATTATTATTATTATTATTATTATTATTATTATTATTATTATTATTATTATTATTATTATTATTATTATTATTATTATTATTATTATTATTATTATTATTATTATTATTATTATTATTATTATTATTATTATTATTATTATTATTATTATTATTATTATTATTATTATTATTATTATTATTATTATTATTATTATTATTATTATTATTATTATTATTATTATTATTATTATTATTATTATTATTATTATTATTATTATTATTATTATTATTATTATTATTATTATTATTATTATTATTATTATTATTATTATTATTATTATTATTATTATTATTATTATTATTATTATTATTATTATTATTATTATTATTATTATTATTATTATTATTATTATTATTATTATTATTATTATTATTATTATTATTATTATTATTATTATTATTATTATTATTATTATTATTATTATTATTATTATTATTATTATTATTATTATTATTATTATTATTATTATTATTATTATTATTATTATTATTATTATTATTATTATTATTATTATTATTATTATTATTATTATTATTATTATTATTATTATTATTATTATTATTATTATTATTATTATTATTATTATTATTATTATTATTATTATTATTATTATTATTATTATTATTATTATTATTATTATTATTATTATTATTATTATTATTATTATTATTATTATTATTATTATTATTATTATTATTATTATTATTATTATTATTATTATTATTATTATTATTATTATTATTATTATTATTATTATTATTATTATTATTATTATTATTATTATTATTATTATTATTATTATTATTATTATTATTATTATTATTATTATTATTATTATTATTATTATTATTATTATTATTATTATTATTATTATTATTATTATTATTATTATTATTATTATTATTATTATTATTATTATTATTATTATTATTATTATTATTATTATTATTATTATTATTATTATTATTATTATTATTATTATTATTATTATTATTATTATTATTATTATTATTATTATTATTATTATTATTATTATTATTATTATTATTATTATTATTATTATTATTATTATTATTATTATTATTATTATTATTATTATTATTATTATTATTATTATTATTATTATTATTATTATTATTATTATTATTATTATTATTATTATTATTATTATTATTATTATTATTATTATTATTATTATTATTATTATTATTATTATTATTATTATTATTATTATTATTATTATTATTATTATTATTATTATTATTTTTCAGCCCAAATTTCAGTCCAACATCAAGGAAGAAAGAAAAAGAACGCAGGTGTTGTCTTCTTCATTGGAACATAATGTTGGGATTGGAAAATTCTTCTATTCAATATCAAGAACAGAATTACAATAGGAGGAACAAACTCTCACACTCAACTATTACAAAAAACCAATCCTCACCAATACACTTTTACTCTAAGTGTATTTCACTCTTCACACATTTTTCTCACTTTCTAAACTGATGCTATGAACAACAATAGAACACTCTATTTATAGGGCTATTTGGAGACAAGGGAAAGTTGCA